CCTCGGAAGGAAGGTTGGGCAATCCTACTTCCATAGTGATACTGCCTCGGAAACCCAAGGAGGGGTCGCTATGAGTCGGGGCCAACTCGAAGGCACATAACAACAACAACAACAAAAAACGATTGTGAACATTTCTTAATCTGTTTGTTGGCTGCCTGAATATCTTCTTTGGTAAAGTGTCTGTTCATGTCTTCTGCCTACTTTTCAATTGGATTGTTTGCCTTTTTTATGTCGAGGTACTGCAGTTTTCTATAAATTTTAGAGATAAGTCTCTTGTCAGATATGTTGTTGCCGAATATTTTTTTTTTTTTCCAATTTGTAGGTTCTCTTTTGACTCTTTTGGAGAAGTCTTTTGATGCACATAAGAAAAGGTGCTGCAGTGCCTAAAGGCATTTGACTGCTAACCAGAAGGGTTCAAACCAACCAGCTGCCCAGGGAAGGAAGACAGGGCAGCAATCTATTTCTGTAAAGATTTGCTGCCTTGGAAACCCAATGGGAGTCGCCATGAGTTGGAATCAACTGGATAGCAGTGGATTTTTTTAAATCATCTAGTTTTCTGCTGTTTGTGCATTTTGGATTATGTAGTCCTAGTATATAGGTTTTGAAGGAATAAAGTCTTCTTAAAAAAACAAAAAACAGTCTGGAGTGAAGCTAGGTTTCTTGTTCAAAGGATGCTGAACTAATTTATATGTAAAAATATTATGTAAACCATAAACAGGAGCTCTGGTAGCATAGTGTCTAAGGCAGTTGACTGCTAACCAGAAGGCTGGCAGTTCAAACCCACTAGCCACTCCTCGGAAGGAAGGTTGGGCAATCTAGTTCCATAGTGATACCGCCTCGGCAACCCAAGGAGGGGTCACTATGAGTCGGGTCCGACTCGATGGCACATTACAACAACAACAACAAACCATAAACAATTATTATATAAAATATTTGAATAATATTTTTTAAAAACTAAGAGGAATCTGAGGCTCTGAAAGCACCTCTGGTGAACCCTGGTGTGCACATTTGGTGCCAGATATTGAAAGGACTTGTACAAATAAACTAAAAGCAAATGACTGTGGCTGAAAAGGTAATCAGTACCAGATACTGAGAGAGGCGGAGAAAAAAGAATGCAAAACCAAACCCAGAAAGGCTAATAGATCGATCTGTTCCCTTCTATTCTTTATTGTTCAGCTGATTGCATTTCTTTCTTATGGAAATCCATTAGAAACATCTTAATATTCATCCCAAAGGCTGCTTTCAATTTGCATTCCTATTTAATATTAGAGAGAGCAATACAGGTGGTATGGAAGAGCAATGGAACTGAAATCAGGATTTGTGGATTTGTATACAGGTCTGTCATCTCACTAAGCCTCAGTCTTCTCATCTGTAAAATGTCAGTGATAATATCTACACTACAAAGTTGTGATTATTAAATATGGTAAAATAAGTGACAATGCCTAGAATAGTGTTCAACAGAAATATAACATAAACCATATCGTACGTGAACCACATATGTAATTTTACATTAAAAAAGTAAAAAGTAGGTGAAATTAAGATTAATAATATTAATACAACAACAATATTGATATATTTTATTTAACCCAATATATCCAGAATATTACCATTTCAATATGTCAATCAATATAAAATTAATAATGATATATTTTGCATTCCTTTTTTTTCATACTAAGTCTTTGAAATCAATATGTATTTCACACTTACAGCACAGTTCAATTCAGACTAACCACATTTCAAGTGCTCAGTAGCCACATGTGGCTAGTGACTACCATAATGGACAGCACAGGCCTAGAACTGGGTTAAAAATTTTAATGTACGTTTATTAGACCCAAACACTATTTTATATTGGATAAAGCCTGTGGGACTTAGAAATGGGTTGATTTTTTAAATCAACCACATTAAGGTGAGTTTGTACTTTTATATTTTTGGTAAAGTATTTTATTGTAATATGGATATTATCTGTACTGATCAGACCAAGTATTTATCTGAAATAAGAGCAACCAAAAATTATTATTATGGGAGCTCTGGTGGTGTAGTGCCTAAGGCATTTGACTGCTAACCAGAAGGTTGGTGGTTCAAACCCACCAGCCACTCCCCAGGGGGGTGGGGGTGGACAGTCTGCTTCTGTCAAAATTTACAGCCTTAGAAATCCTACACAGCAGTTCTACTCTGTCCTATAGGGTCACTATGAGTCAGAATCAACTCAATGACAGTGGGTTTGGTTTTCTGGTATTCAAAATATGGATTTTCTAGAGTTTAGCACCTCTTTCTCAAACACCTTGTCAGTATTCTTGGTCAGAACTGATACACAGGAAGAAATGCCACCAGCTGAACCATTAATTGTATTTTCTGCAGCACTACCTATGTATGTTCCTTTGCGATCTCCTGATCAAGAATTCACTGCACTCACCCCAGCTCAGGCTTAAAATCTCTGGTGGGTTCACAATACAAAATGGTACAGTTACAGGAGACTGGTTTTAAATACTTACATCTTCACATTCACACTGGTCTCATTTAAAGTTTTCGAAGGAAGAAGGTATTCCCTTAATTAGACATGCATTTCCCAAGTTAACCACCAGAGTCACTGATACTAAACAAAAACATAGACACATACTGTACAATTTTAAATATGTGGCCAACCTTCAGAAATAAAACAACCCAATATTCAAGAAAGACTCACATCTGGCATTTCTGTAGAGAAGGAAAGGGTCCTGGAGTTGGAAATCCAGGTCTTTAGTAATAGGTTCTGTCCTATTTTCCATGCTCAGCCTATTCATAATGGTGAATCCATGCTTTGGAGAAGCAGACCTAAAATTTACCAGGGGTGGTAGGGATATCAAAAGAGAAGTCGTTCAGTATACTGTATTTTTAGAATGATTACATTCTGTCTCTCAACCTTTCTACATGTATATATGGCTTTATACAAATAGACTGTACACATCTAAAGCAACATTTCTTTACTGTTGGCATTTATCTACTAATTCATATGTAATACAATTATACATATGTAATGAGCGTTATTACCATTCCTTTGCTAAAATCAAGTCCTATTTATTTATTTGATTATTTGTGTGTTTGCGTGTCTGTGTGCAAGTATATGTATCTTACTTTCCTACCAAGACTGGAAATTCCTTAAGGCAGAGCAGGTACTTACTTTCTTTTCAAATTACTAACAGGTCCTTTCAAAGAATCTTGGTTGTTAATTAGTGTACCTCACAATTACATGAAGAAAATTTTCGTGCTCTGAAATTGCAAGCTGCAAAACCTATCAGATGAAACTCTGGTCAATCAACTTGTGAGGAGATAGAGCATAATTAAAAGTTTATGTAGCTTAATACAGACTAGATATTCTATTTCCTTCAACATAAAGCAAATAGTTTCATGTATAAACTAGTATAAAAGCTTTTCTCCATAAAAAGGGGGCACTTAGTGACTTTCTATTTTTCATTTCATTCAGTGAACTTCAAGTGCCTACTCTCTGTCAGGCAGAAAGAACCCAAACTATACAGAGTATAAATTCTAACAACAACTACATGTGCATTCATACAGTAATTCAACTGTGAAACTTCTAGTGACAAGTGAAACATCACATGCTTACATAGAAACTGAAACAAGCAGAATTCAATTATTTACTTTAAACTAGAGTTAACAAACCCACAGGAGTATTATCATATGCAACAAGAAGAAAGGTGTTTATATCTTAGTTTTATTTTACCTCTAACAATTTGATGCTGATAAAGAAGTAAAACGTAGCTTCTTGAATTATTATCAGACTACCACTTACAGGATTTGCTTTTGAAACCTCCAATTTTAAAAATGATGGAAGGCAATCCTTGCCTCGCTTATTTTCTAATGAGGTAAAGTGGTGCAAGCATATAGTCAATACCAGAAATAATCATGATAAGCATTTCAACTTAAATGCATAGGAAGAATGAAAATTTAGAGTCCTTTGGAAGTGTCAAGTTCAGTAATCACCAGTGGGTGTCTCTATGAACTCTAATAACAGGAAGACATGGGAGGAAATAAAGTACAGAAAAAGCTTTTAAAATGGGATTTAGGTGTTTTTATATAAGAATCAGAATTTCATTCTCCAAATATTTCATTATCACAACAGGATCTCATCTCTTTCATAGTATGGATACTATACCAGTTGCCATCAAATCAACCGCAACTCATGGTGACCACATGTGTGACAGAGTAGAACTGCACCCCACAGGACTTGCAATGGTTGAATGAAACCTTTCTTCAGAGGTGGGTGCCTCTGGGTGGACTCAAACTTCCAACCTTTCCATTAGCATCTGCACTACCCAGGGATTATACCATCTCAAAATTTGTAAAATAGGCCCAGGGTATAAATGTACCAATTGAGCTAAAGGAACTTCTGTAAGAGTGGTCAAAATATATCAGTGGCTAGCTCCATTACCACTGATATATTTTGAGCACTTTTACAGAAGCTGCTTCAGATTTTTGGTTTAGCTCCATTACCTGTACCAAAAACTCCCTTTAGATTTTCATGAGCTTTCTACCATTCTCTACTGAGGAAGGACCTCAATATATTAGAATCTGGTGTGTTTTAGTGTTGTTTTTGGTAGGGGGCTAATCTTGAGGAATTAGATTAGGGGAAGAGATTGAGAGATAGGGAAGGATTTGTTTCTCAATTTAATGGTTTGATTAACTGACAGACCCACTAGGGAGTTGAAATATTTGAAGAAGTACTTGAAAATATAAACCTACATTTGGTTTGGGTACAAAAGGGAAAATACTTGTATAATTTATTATTCTTCCAGGCTCAAAAATAAAATAAAACACACGCGCGCGCACACACACACACACACACACACACAAATCCCTAAAATAAATCACTAATGCACATAAATACATCTTTTCTTTCACTTCTTAGATGAATAATTATACTTATTGTTGTGAGAAATGAATGAGAACATACATGACATGGTTGGCTTTCTTTTTATACTTCAAAATTCTCAACAATAGTCTATATTCTGCTATATAAACTCACTTGGTGATATGTTCTGGTGCACTGGGAATGTCTTGGAAAATAAAGTAGACTAATATATCCAATTATTCTTGGGCACTCCCACCATTTTTCTGAAACTGTGAATAAACTGACCTCATTACCGATTCTGACACCCTCACCCATCTGTTCCTTTCTTTCCACTCCCACTGCAGCCTCCACTCGAATAGACCTTCATTCTCACTGCTGACCTCCCTCCTGCACCTGTACCCATATATTACCATCCTTCCTGATTCTTTATATTGTTCTAGTTCTGCTTTTATTTATTTATTTAGGCTAGATCCTCTCTGTATCCTTTGTTGTTGTTAGGTGCCATTGAGTCAGTTCCAATTCATACCTACCCTATACAACAGAATGAAACACTGCCTGGTCCTGTACCGTCCTTATAATCGTTGCTACGTTTGAAAGTATTGTTGCTGCCACTGTGTCCATCTATCTTGTAGAGGGTCATCTTCTTTCTTTTCCACTGACGCTCACTTTACCAAACATGTTGTCCTTCTCCAGGGACTTGTCCCTCCTGATAACATGTTCAAGTACAAGAGATGAAGTCTCACTATCCTTGCTTCTAAGAGCATTCTGTCTGTACTTCTTCCGAGACAAATCCGTTCATTAAGAGCATTCTGGCTGTACTTCTTCCAAGACAGATCTGTTCATTCTTCTGGCAGTCCATGTACATTCAATATTCTTCACCAACACCATAATTCAAATGCACTAATTCTTCTTCAGTCTTCTTTATCAGTGTCCAGCTTTCACATGGAAAAGAGGCAATTAAGGACACCATGGCTTGGGTCAGGTGCACCTTCAGCCTTCAAGTTGATATGTTTGCTTTTTAACACTCTAGAGGTCTTTTGCAGATTTTTTCAATGCAATAGATTTAGATTAGTCGTTAGATTTCTTGACTGCTGTTTTCCATGGTGTTGATTGTGGATCCAACTAACATGAAATCTTTGACAACTGCAATATTTTCTTCATTTACCACATTGTTGTTTATTGGCCAGTTGTAAGGATTTTTTGTTTCCTTTATGTTGAAGTGTAATCAATACTTGACCTTCATCAGTAAGTGCTTCAAGCCTCTTCACATTCGGTAAGCAAGCTTGTATCTTCTGCGTATCTCAGGTTGTTAATGACTCTTCCTCCAATCCTGATGTGATGTTGTTCTTCATATAGTCCATCTCTCCAGATTATCTGTATCCTTGATGGCCCCTAAAGCCAACCTTTAGCCCTTGGCAGTTTTCTCTTTATATTCTCTCCTTCAGAGAACTCTTTTTCTTAAAGTTTCAACTATCAAATTAATATAGTTAATGACCAATCCTATATCTCCAGCTCCTACTTGATTCTGAGTGGCTGGATATCTCTATTTGAATGCCCTGTTATCACTTCAAATAAAATGAATACTTAATCTCAAACCAGATTCTCAATCTGCTATCTTTCTGTTCTGCTGCTGATTTTGTAATTACCAGGCTTCCTTGTTCGAAATCTTAATGTTATTTTTTAATTTCACCATTCCCTCTATACATGTAGCCTTTCAGTAAGTCTGTTCCTTTCCATTTCACCTTCTATCATTCTAGCCCATACTCTCATCATCTCATATCTCCTCCACTGCATTAATCTTCTCAATGGCTTCCCTAACTCCAATTTATTCTAGAACCAATGCATCCTCATAAGGTTAATACTGTGACATTCCCCATACATCCTATCATAACTCCATTACTCCTCTGCTCATAAACCTTCCGTGACCTCCTACTGCTAAGAGAATAAAATTCAAAAACCTTAATCTGCCATTCCAGTTCCAGCAAAATCTCTTTATCCTCAGTGCCAACTTTTAATCAATATAAACCCTCTGTACCAAAGAGTCATTGTTCTTTACTGCCCCTTTAACATACTAGACTCTATGTCTCTGTTCATGCCATTCTTTTTATTGCTTGTCCTCAATGCAAATTAAGTTCTAACTTATTCCCAAGGCCCAATATGAGACCTATCATTTCTTTTTATTTTTGGCATAAAATAACAGAAATTTATCCCTCACATTTCTGGAAGTCAGAAGTTGAAAATCAGTATCACTGGGTCTAAATCAAGATATTGATAGGGCCATGCTGCCTCTAGAGGAGAATCCATTCCTTCCCTCTTCCAGTTCATGATGGTTGCTGGCATTCCTTGGCTCATGGCTGCATCATTCCAACCTCTGCCTGTTTTCACATTACCTTCCTCTCCATGTATCTGTATCAAATATATCTCTGTCTCTTACAAGAACACATGTCATTGCACTTAGACCCCTCTCAAATAATCCAGGATAATTTTTCCATCTCAAAATCCTTAATTTAATTCCATCTGCAAAGACTCTTTTCCTCTATAACATTTATAGGCTCCAGGGAGTTGGATATGGTATCTTTGGAGGGCATTTATCTGCCTGCTACACAGCGCACAGTGTACTAGCTGAGAATCCCAAAGGGTTGATATTTAGGTAGGTCCTTCCCTCTGGTAATACAGACTCCAGGAGTGACCTGAGCCCCAGTTCCATCGTCAGCATATTGGTGGGGTTGTCATATCTCTGTGCTCCTCTCCCCTCTAGTCAAATTTAACCTTTGATTTTGGTGGCAAAATGGAGTCTTTTTTTTTTTTTTTTAACTTTTTATTGTGATTTGGGTGGAGGTTTACAGAGTAAATTCATTTTCCGTTCAGCAATTCATGCACATTTTGTTTTGTGACACTGATTGCAATCCCCACAAGGTAACAGCTCTCTTTCTACTTCCTCCCTATGGTTACCTTTTCCCTATGTCCTTCTTTCCTATGCATTCCTGCTCTCTGAGTTTTCTCCCTGCGTAAATGCTGCCCTTCTGATTTCCCGTGGTTGATTGTTCTAAGGAGTGCACACACCTCCCTGCTCTTAATTGTTCACCTTGTAGGCCTGTCTGTCATTTGGCTAAAGGTTAAGCTACTGAAGTGAGTTCATTTCCAGGCTCAAAGGGTGACCAGGGGCTATAGTTTCAGGGGTTTCACCAGTCTCTATCAGACCAGTAAGCCTGGTCCTGTTTATGCTTTTGAGTTTTGTTCCACATTTTTCTCCCACTCTATCAAGAATCTCCAATCTCGATCCCTTTCTGAGTGGTTGGCTCAGTGGTAGCTAGGTACCATCTAGTTCTCCTTGTCTCAGAGACATGTGGGCTGAGGTTCCCATGGTCCACTAGTCCTTTGGACTATTTTTTTCCATGCATCTTTGATTTTCTTTGCTCTTCCTTGCTCCAGATGAGGAGAGACCAATAGTAGCATCTTAGATGGCCACTCACAAGCTTTTAAGACCCCAGTCACTACTAATCAAAGTCAGAACAATGTTTCTATGTACTATGTTATTCCAATTGAGCTTGATGTCTCCCACAACCATGGTCCAAAGCCTGCAGGCCCAGCAACTCATTCCTTAAGGTATTTAGTTGTGACTAAAAAGTTATCATAACTTTGCTCTCTGTTTTATATATATGGATGTTTTGATAGCACATACAAATATATATATAGAAATATCATCTGCCAAACCTATGTATGGTCAAAGACCCATCATTCCTATAAATACTTCCATATTCACAGCAGCCACTCTTAGTGCTTATAACCTATCAACTGGCATTATTGATAATCTATCTTGTATAATGACTTATCTGAAATGTAAATGTATATGTGATATATATATATATGTGTGTGTGTGTGTGTGTGTGTGTGTGTATTTCCTATAGTTGGGCAATCCTACTTCCGTAGTGATACTGCCTTGGAAACCCAAGGAGGGGTCGCTATGAGTTGGGTTTGACTCGACA